GGGCGCGCTAGCCTAGTAGTAGTAGTAGTAGTAGTAGTAGTAGTAGTAGTAGTGGTGGTAGTAGTAGTGGTAGTAGTAGTAGTAGTAGTCGTCGTCGTCGTCGTCGTCGTAGTAGTAGTAGCCGTAGTACGACAACTTCGACTTGCATTAGTACGAACTTTCTTAGAGTAAAAGAAGACATCCTTATTCCTTCGACAAAAACAACATGAAGAAACAACTTGAGGCTTCAGAGACAAGGAGTGTGTTGCCACTGGCATCCTATATGCCAAACCGTGAACCTGCTTCAACCCCCAAATCCTTTATGCCTCGAACGAAACACAGGCAAGTCAGCATAAGGCTTTCATAGTGTCAAAGTAGGGGCCGACAACCGGTCCCCCAGACAAAAACTCCAGCATAGTTGCGTTTGGTTGGTTTTCCTGGGACAGTTCCTGTCACGCTCCCGGCGCGGTTCCTGTTTCTACTAGCCCGCGTTCCCGTTGCGACCCTCAATGGTTTCCGTTACTCCCCAAACGGGTTCCTGTTACTCCCCGCACCCCAGTACGCACCCAACAACAGCGCACGAGGTTAGGGTTGCGGATCGCTTGTCCTCAGTCCTAAAATGTCCCAAGTTACCCATGAGCAAGGTGTGCTTCCAATGCCAAAGTACTGCATGCACACTCGGGGGGTTGATTTTGCCGACATTGGTGGCAATAATGTGCCCGTGACCCGAACCGCGAAAGTCATTGGATGTCGTGCCACGGCGTCACAAGTGCCCGAAACTGCTGTGTTTGCTCGTGATTCGGGCGGACTGTGCAATGCCTGACGCTTTGAAGTACAGCAGCACAGCGCTATCCCGACAAGAGTGGACGACACTATCTGATCATATTCGATCTGTCCTCCAGTCTAGCTCCTGGTAAGTGCAACGAATCGAAAGACTACCTGACTAGCCGGTCTGTGGCCTAACGCGCGCAAGCATACCTCGGGATGTATTTCCCGGTTGGGTCTCCAGTTAGACGCATCACGACGACTTCCGCGCACATGTAGCCTTCAGTTTCAGTCTGCATAATTTTGGCAATGCCGACCTCGCGGTTCCCATGTGGTGCTTGGATCAACCGGCTGTGCTGCAAACCTTGGAAGACCAAGCAAGGTGTTCAACGCACTGGTCATGGCTGCTGACGTTCAAGTCATAGGCCAGGGCTGTCCAGATACTGCTTGTACTAGCCGAACAGTCGGAGCCCGGCTGCCCGCGGCTACGATGACTTGCCCCAGAACCGCCAGGTATCGACATTGGAGCAGATCTTGCGTATGCGGCGTATATGCCAACATCTCTGACTGCACCATGGGCACGGCCCATGTTTGAGTATACTGACTTTGGGCTGCAAGCCATGGACTTAAATCAGGCTAGGAAATTGTGGTTGAATGTTGAATGGCTGGGTTTGCTGCAGCGCCTCGGCCGGCGCGGTTGCTTTGTGCTGGCAGGGGCGAGAGCAGGACACAGTTTGGTGCGAAAATGTGTGAAAACCTAGTGTAATTTTTGAAGTCGCTTTTTCGGTCGTGACCTTCATTCGTGTAGCAGGGCTTACAGAGCGATTTGCACATACCTCGGCCAAATACGCAAGGCTTGCTTGCTTCCTTCAAAGTAGAACTCTTCTTACGTAGGGTTCTGGCCCCGGCTTTGGATCGTCTACCGGACTGTTCTCGCGACTTCTTTGATGTCTCTGCGACTTCTGTCCCAGGTGCCGCCTAGTCAACGTGGAGGATAAACCAACTCGGCGTGATGCAACACACCTATTGTCACTGCATCTCGTGCCACTCGAACACTTTTTTCGGCAGCGCCGTAAGAGAGAAGATGGAACGAGCACTGGGCTGAGCCTTCTGCCACAGCCACTGGGGGCTGGGAGGAGAGGCCCTCGGAGCCGAAGGCCTCCATCAAGCGCCACTTAAAGCAATTGGGAACCCTGAAGTCTGAGGCTGTTGGCATCTGTGGCTTGCAGCCCTTAGCGAACCTTTAGCCTAGATTCTGAACTGTTGGCATCGACCAGATTGGCCCAACTGAGGAGTGGTTCTTTGGCATTGTGCCTCGGACTGCTCATGTGATTGTCTTGGCAGGGTGAACACAGATTTATGGCCACTACAGCCCTTGCAACAGGCTCAGCCTAAGCCACATCGCTACTGAAACAGCCGCAAGTCGAAACAGCGTTTCGCAGTGTTCATATTGGGTCCTGAGCTGGTACTGAGGCATTCACAATTGAGATAGTAATGAAGTTCACTGCATTCGGCCTGGACTTCGTGAAAGACCTCTGGAACTGGATAGACACATTCATTGCATCTTGGCTTGGAAGAAAGCTCGATCTTGTATGTCTGGAATGACGGCGCAATGCATGTGAACTCCTTGTAGTAGTTTCGGCAGTCCCACTTCTCGCATTTCATCTCATTGTAGATACTCGCACATTGCACATTTCGAAATCGCTGCGTCTTGCGTCGCGGCTGATAGGTGACTGAGTCCGCGAGCGAGAAAGAGAGAGAGAGAGAGATAGAGATCTCGTGTGTGTTCTTGTCGCTGCCCTTTAAAGCCATGCCCCAGCCAGCGATTCGCTCAGTAACTACGGAGCTAGGCGGGAAAACCCTTACTAGTTGAGATGGCGGACTTGGCTTGTTGTTCGTGCCTGTCACGCTAGCGTTTTTAACTTTTGGCCTAGGTCAGCCATTTGTCCGTACTGCAACAGCGCTCATGCTCAGATCCAGAAGTCGAGCCGAGCCTCTCCGTTTTGTGTCTTGCAACCCGCATGGTATCTAGTGTCTGATGTTGTGCCTGATTCGAAATAAGAGGTTCGACCATGCGCTGAGACTCATGAGCCCACCTTTTGGGGGGAACCCAGGCAAACTGGAGGCAAATCTGCAGAAGTCACTATCCTTACTTATTGGAATGTTATGGCTTGTGTTGCTGAGTGATGCATCTGTCCTTGTTCTGCGATTCTATGCCTCTGAAGAAGTGTGGGGGGGGCAACTCCCCACCACAGCCCTTGCGAAAGAAAGAGAAAGATCTCGGGCAACTCCCCACGACAGCCCTGGTGAAAGAAAGAGAGAGATCTTTCAGGCTCGTTTGTGTTAGCCCACCCTGCCTTGGCACATCTCCACGGACGCCGTTTAGAGGTGTAATTTGTTGATCGAAGGGCCGTAGCTGGCGGGGACATAGACCCGAAATCGGCCGCGACTAGCAGATACGACAAGATGCTTGCAGGTTTGCTGTTGGTACATCGACGTTGTCGCCAATGACATTCTGCCAATCAATACGACTCTGCTGCGCTTGCTGCGCTTGGTGCGGCTTCTGCGGCTGCTCAGGCAGAGCTTGTTTCAACGGCTACCGCGGTTGCTGGCTGGTACCCTAAACCCTGTGCCGTGAAAGCATAGGCTCCATACTGGTATGACTAGAGCCAAGATCTTGCAGTAGACTTCAGCAGATTTCGGAAATGGGCGTGTGGTCGACCAAGATTTTGGTACAATGCCTGCCGCATCCCACTTCCCTGTCAGGCTGGTTAGGCTGATAAAGACTTTTGAGGCTGTGCTGCATTCAGACTTGGCTTTACTGGCAGCTTCGTTGAGCGACTGTCCAGTCGTCTGGCGGGCGCGTGAGTTAAGTTAGGGGCAGCAAATCCGATGGGGATGCTTTTGGCAACGGGTAGACACCCCTCTAACGCCCGAGCTTCAACGAGGAACGTCAGGCTGGAGAAGCTGTACTTCTGCATTCAAGAACTTACCGAGAATTGCGCAGTGATAGCTGGAGGTGTTTATCAGCAATCTGTACTGTTCCTGGATACTTCTTTACCTGAAGTTTCTTGTCAGCGGCGGCTTGCAGTTCGTGTTGTTGTTAGTATGCGTTCGTCAGGGCATTGTTCCGGAACAGGCTCACAGTTCGAGCTGCAGCTTGCGAACCAGATGTCTTGGCAGTCAAAACTACCTCTCGAAATATGCGCCAATGACCAACAACCGCTTACTCTCAGGATTCACTCTACCTCATGACAACGGCTCTAAAGGGAAGCGCTCTTATTCTGACCTGGGCCTGCGTCTTTGCTGCAATGGTTGCCGAGCCGGGCCATGTGCGGAACGAAAGATATGATTCCAGAGCGTACCGAGGCGTATTATTGCTGGTCCTGCAGGTCGGACTGTTGGCCTTTAGGACCGTTCGTGTAGATCTGATTGCCTGCTGTCAGATACTGCTGGCTCTCCTCCTGAACCAGATTTTGCAACTCATTAGCAAGTGTTGGGCCGCTTCAAGGCGGAGCTTCGAAGTTCGAAATCTTGGGATTCTGAGCTGGAGGGCGGGCACTGTACACACCAAAGCTACCAGCTAGCAAGTGTTTTCCACGACTCCAGCTGCCCTGCGAAAGGACGGAAAGCACCTAATCCAGCATAGCCGGAGCAGCCCGAAAACATCGGAATCTGGCTATAAGATAAGATGCTATAAGCATTCTAGAGAACACACGTGCCTCCAAGAGTTTGGCCAGCCAAAGTGCTTGGTCTTGAGGTATACCGTCTACTTCCCAAGTGAGAATTATCCTCTCGCTGAACGATTGGATGCTTGGGCTGCTGCAAGGGGAACTGTCGCGGTCCAGTAGCAGCAGCAAGCACCTCAAGCTGCGATGCCTTTCGTTTTTCATTCTTCTCCTCGGATAGGCCCCAAGGCAACCTGACATGTCCTGCAGCCGCAATCAGGCGTAGGCAGTGAGAAGCCGAGCATGCCAAGGAACTCTTTGAATACTTTGGGACGCAGCACCCTTAGCCTTGGAAGTGGCCGATTCTTCCGCACAGGTTCTATATGCATGCAGGTAGTTCGGTCGAGTCTTTCAGGCTTAAGTCGTCGCAAGCCCCGCTTTTGAATTCAAGTGACATTCCCTCAAAACTCCATCTGTCGCTGAAACCGTTTAGTTGCGGGGCGATATTCGGACATGCTCGTTATGTTCTCTGCTGGTCATCATCTAGCTTATGCAGACGGTGTGCGTCTAATTTGCGATGTAGGCTGCAGGTTTTTCGTTGACATGCATATGGTCCAATCTTGGTCGTGCTGTTATTGCCGGAAGAATGCCAGCATGGGTCCCAACAGAAGGGGCGTGGAGGTGCATTTGCATTGTGTTTTACTGAAATTCAGGGTTTCGGCGATACCATTCCTTGGATCTCTACGATTTCGAGTCTTGTAGAGCATTCAAAATTGCCTTTCCTTGTCATAACACTCAGATGGGTCAGCAATGGAAGCGTTCATGTAAATCAGTTTGAAACCTGTTGGAATGTCGGACTCACAGTCAACCGCTGCCCAGTCCTGTAATCGCACTTGCACACGTTCGCATTTCGATGGGCTGACTTCACTGTACGAAGTTAAAGCAATTTCTCACGCGATATGTGGTTTATCTGACATAAGCTTGATCCTTGCAACTCTTTGTCTCAATGCAGGCAATATCAGTCACCGATGTATTGAGCCGACACCCCGGAACCCGATCAATGTGCTCGCCAAACCTGCCAACATGACGAGCAAGATGTCATCGGGCGTTTCCGTCAGTATCGTGCCCAACAGATGCTATGTATTCTGATGTCCTGCAGCTGAGCTGCGATTTTTTGCCTGTTGCAAGCTTGTCCTCAGCTTTACTTCTACTAGAAAAATTATGGACGATGTCCATGTCGTCCTATTTCTCTGGCAGGCTTCGGGACGAGTTGTCGCTCGTCCCAAGCATTCCAGTGAATGTCGCGTTCGAAGCTTCTGCCTTGACCCGTTGACCCAAATATGCGAAAAGTGGAAGCGCGAGATTTTCGGCTTGTGTACCCCACCAAGCGTGACCGCGAGCAGGATCGCCCCTTCCAGCCATACCGGCTGCAAACTACGGTGAAACACAGTCCAGTCTAGGTCATTAATTAGACCCCTGAAGCGCTGTGGCATGTTCAGTTGCTGTCTTGGGCCTTCACTGCAAGCAAGGTTTACTCGCTCAATGCTCTCAATGTTCGAGATAACGCTGGGCAACTGGCCACCAGTATGCAGGCCGCCAGCAACTCCACAGCACGAGACACAGCTTACTTAACCATTGGTAGAGCCCGTCGCCATGCATTTAACCTGCCATCATTTGATGTTAAACTTTACTTTCGCCGTTTGCTACCACAGGATTGTTTTTTGAGGGCCGCACGGCAAGGCAGCAGCTGCACCACTTAACACAGTCCCAACCCTCGTTCACATGCTTTTGTTCCTGAGTTGGCAGGCTGCTCTCCGAGAAAGTTTCGGCATCTTAGCTTTGAGACTGGGGGATGTTTGCAAATTTGCTCGGCTTAGGAGTGCCTTCTTAAAGCTAAGGAATGGTTTATGCTGCTTTGTGTGTTGCACAAGCTGGTCATTGGCTTTGCTGTCGTGGGAGTCATCAACGGCGTGTTTATCCAGGTCGGCGGAACCAGGATTTCGCATGTTTTGTAGAGGAAGGACCTGTTCTGTTTTTCGCAAGCACGGCTTGGTGCAGGAAACCTTCAAAGTGGCATCTTCTGATAATCAGATAATGATGAGGCGAGACGCAACATTGTCTTGGAGCAAAGAAGGGGCACTGCGTCGGTGCAACCACCAGGCAGAAAGAGCGGTCGTCAAATCTGCATGAGATGAAGATGCTCCTGGGTGACAGAAGAGAGCTTCAGAACACAGCGTTGCCAACTTCTGTGCTGATGATAGCATGAAGCTGTCATTTGGGACGTTCACCTTATTAGACATGCTGCATGGACAACTTCAGGCGACAGTTGTTTCTGGAAGCTGACAATGACCGCGGCGGGCTCGGGTTCCCGTTCGCTGCATGCTGAGCAATGCTTCAATGCTTCGTCACATCGCATCAACTCGGCACGTCAAGCCAACAGCTTGCCAACGCGATTCTCCCGTGCAGAGATAGATCAGGGTTTTGAGTTCGACCTGTTGCCAAGAAGACGGCTTGGTGAGCCGAGAGGAGTGGCGTGCACTGGCGTCTCGGTTTCAAGTGGCAGGCATGAGCGGGACATGCACTGCAGCGCTTGTCTAAACAACATTGCTCGGCATTTCTTACTGTTTGGTCTTCGTTTATCAGCCATAGTCAGCATACCTGCCGGTTAGCGCCAAGCGTTGTGATTCAATGTGCGGGAGAGCCATAGGTTGGGGCCGTCTCCAAGGTAAGCCATCCTGCTGTACAGTTATGGCTCGGCTCAATGGACCTGGATGCAGCGGATGTCCTTGCCCAAGTTGTCGCCGGATCTTTACGAAAGGGGAAGGCGAAAGGCATTCGTGACAGGCAAAGCAAGAAACTGAAACGGAGAGTGTCAGAAGTGCGTCCACCGTGACATGGTGGAGACAACAGAGCGCGCAGAGTGATAAATGCATGCCGTTCTTCACAGGCGCTCGGCTGTCAGGGACCGCTCAGAGTGATAAATACATGCCGTTCTTCACAGACGCCCGGCTGTCAGGGCGATGGACTGTACGATCTTATCCTCGATGCAGACAAAGACGGGGACCTAACAATGGATGAGCTCATCAGGCAGTGCCATGTTCTCGAATGTGCTTTTCTGGCAGGGTTCTAGTTCGCGAAGTTAGGCCGCATCTAGCATCTTTGCACGTTCATGTTATCCAGAGACGAGAGGCTTTGCAGCTTCCTTCCTGTGGTGGCATGCTTGCATGTCTCTGTCTTGGCAAGCCCTTCCTTGTGACAGGGGCGTGGCCCGCCTCAAAGGGCAGGCCAGAAGTTATGACCTACAGATGCTGTTGCGGCAGGCTGGAGCGTTGTCAGTTGTGCAACGAACTCGCCATGCCTCGCTCACATGATGTGTGGATGCGTGCCAACAAGTAAGCAGTAAGCAGATTTCGTTTGCCGGGAACCTCTGCCTCTTGGTTGGACAGCTTGCGGGAGCGCAGCTCGACTGGCCTGACAGATTGTGGGTGGCACTGCCAGGTAGAGAAGTCAGATGGGCTACCAGCTGTAGCCGATTCGTCTGCATTCCGACAGCAACACTCACTAAGTCTCCCATGCTGTGAAGCCATGCACGAGGGCTGCAGTGATTGAACCGACATTTCGGGGGATCTCTGTTCAGTGCAAGAACGGCACGGCCGCATTTCGGTGTGAGTGGGAGGGGGAGTTCGCTGGCAGTTCCGAGCCCCACGGCCTTTGTGTTTAATTGTCGTAGTATCCACAATTGCAGAAGTGCCGACAACGTTGGAGGCTGCTGTGTGGTTTGCTTATTCTAGGAACCGAGGCCGCACATGCGAATGCCCCATCCCAAGTGCCGAAGAGTTCTGTGGGAAGTGTCATGCACAGCACAGAATAAGACAAGCCTGGCAGGTGAATTTCCTAACAGATCAAGTTGATAAATTCAACCGCAAGTTCATGGACAAGGGTGCTGGGTCCGCAGCGCTGCAGGAGAGCAAAGGTCATGTTCAGGTCATGTTATCCCACGTTTCCACATGGATTCTTGCCTCGTGGCCTCAAGTCCAGGACTTTGGCCCAGCGACAGAAGACGTTGGAAACGAAGGACATGCATATCAATTAATGCAGGGATCTGCCTGGAGGTAACCGGTAGTTCCACTAGGGGATGCTAGGAGAATGGAGCCGACTTGGCACCTGACATGCCTTCGGAGAACATAGGTTGTCACTAACCGCAAGCAAGAATCTTCCGGGCGCGTCTCACCCAGCCTGTGCGATCCTCAACGCAACGAAACTTGGAAAGAAGCTATGCTTCCTTGGCGAATGTTGCACACCATCAAATCGCTTGGATCCTCGGGGTTTGTCTATCTTTCCGAATCAGTGCTCTGGACGCGGCCGCACAAACGTGACTTGCCGTGCGTACGAGGGTCTAATCCCTCCGTGAGCAGTTGTACAGCACCACCTCGGAGACAGACCGTTGACGCTGCCGACTTCATGTCAATGAGACTGTACGCGACGCATACCTTGCAGCCCAGGTCACATTTTATTGTAGCTTGCTTGAAGTCGAGCAGCAAATGCAGCACTGTCGCTTCAGACGGGCATTTAATCTCTAAAATGAGATGTTCGGCAGTGTGCCCCTGCCTCTCGTGTCAGGAAATGTAAATGAGTCTGCATTGCTGATTGGTCTCGGGGGCGTGCATGCACCTTACACATAGAGTTCGTTGAACGTCCCACCCAGGTGCATGGAGTACCACTGTCGGATTCTGATTATGGACACGCACAGGGGCGTGAAGGAGGACACGCTTTAAGACAGTTTGCAGGGTGGAGAGAGAACTGGCAAAATCTGCGGGAAATCGTGAGCATGGAAGCCTGGAGGCCTGCAGGTTCCCATGAGATCTCAAACGAACCATGAACACATTGCAGGCTCAAGGAGAGAAGCCAACAGACAAGCCGCGAAGTCAAAGCTGTCCCCAGGAGATTGAGCATGCTAGCGACAGCTGACACTTGGCTGCAGCTTTCCATGGCGCCCATGCAAAAGCAACAGAACGGAAAGAGCCAACTCGAGCTGCGCTTGCCTTTCTCTCCAGAGGCCTGGTGTTCGCTGCTTGGCTTCAAACGAGATGCGCTTGTAGACGTGGCAGCGGTGGCCATTTGCCCGCCCCAACACAGAAGTTGCACATCCTACATGCAAACACACGGGCATCCTTCGTCGGCAAGATTGAGCCCGCTAAGTTAAGTGTCATCGTTCTTCATAGCTAGTTAGCTGCAGTTGACAACAGGCAGGCAGGGAAGAAGATGAAGACGTGCTCGTGCAGACAGCCGGACAGGCATGAGACACGCACGCACGCGCGCACACACACACACACGTTCGACCAGACTTATTGAGTCGTACCTTTGTACCCGTCCAAGCGTGCCTCAGGTAGATGAGGAGATGGGAGCTGGAGTGGGGGCCTTTGTTTTGAGCCAAGCAAGTTTTTGATCCTGCTGCAAGTAGCAGTAGGTGTCATCCGCGAAGCTTGGCTGTGAAGCCTTCAGTGCGTCGTGCGTGAGCAGACCTTGAGCAGATTGAGCAGCCTTAGCCCATCTCTGGTCGAGCGATCAGTCTAAGTAGGTGCTGGCCTGGAACTACTTCTTTGAGACCAAGCCTGTCCCGGTCATCCTGCCGCTCGGCAATCGAACACGTCAAGTTTCCAAAAGCGTCAAGCACATACTCACAAGCAATGAACGCAACTGATGTGCTTTTGAGAATGCACCATCCCACTTTGCAACCCTGACTTGGCAGTTCAGTGACACCTTTTCATCGACAGCACGGATCAACTTTTGGATTCTGATGAAACCTGCATCGCATCCCACCGATAGCCAATATGGATGCTAGGGCATCCGCCCCTGACCTGGAGAGAGAGAGAGAGATGCCACAGGGAACGGTGAGACCATTCCAGATGCCCCTTGTGCCGGCAGTTGACTTAGCCATCATCGCCCCGCCGACCCCACTTGCCACAGTTCAAGTGGGGAAGAGCCGAGCGCAGCCGCAACAAGATGCGCGGCAGGTGCTTGGGTCAGCTGGCACAAATGTGTAGCAGAGATGGGCTAGGCCGTGTAGAGCAAAGGAAACAGAAAATCATTTGGACTACAAGTCTGATCCCAAAGCCGCCGAGTGATGTCGGAATACTGATATGACCTGGATTACTCCCTGGTGACTTGTGTCTGGGAAACCTCTGCCGAACGCGCTGTGGCATTCCGGACAAGGCAATGTGCTGGCGGAGAAGAATTTCCATCACGGGGCGAGCAAACGCCTCTACAATCCGGGCCACCACCGAGCTTATGCCAGATGCAAAGGGAATGCCTTCATCCATCATCGAGAGCAACTGTGCATCAAACCAGTTGGACCACATCAAGATAAGACCTTACAACGTGGATCGCATGGTTTGCTGAGACCGTTTATTGCCGAAAATGCAGAACAACGAATTGTTGCCTGCCATCGGGAAGGTAACCCATCCGTAGTAGACGCTGTGCCGCCGCACGGGTCCATCCGGGCAGAGTCACTGAGAGCTTCCACCGAAGCTGCTAACAATGGATGCGCCGAAGAGGAACACACGATAACACATGCAAACGCAGTTTCCATCCCTTCACCGCAGAAACAGGCCTCGACAGCCCCCGGCCGGATGAATGTGCACTGATAACTTTGTGCATTGCTTATGTTTGCTTTGCTGCATGCAAGTGACTAAGAGTCATGTTACAGCCAGCAGAAGCTTGGTCGTTTCAGATGCTGCCATCTTCTACACTGCTTCTTCCCTGCTGCTGGCAAGCCGAGGCGAGCAATTGAAGATGCTCATTTGGGACGTAGTGCTTTTCGAGACGGGAGGGTGGCGCGGCAGCAAATGCAACCTGATACATCCGCTTCTGCCATCGTACACCCAAAGGTTGTCTATGCAAGCATCACACAGGCCTTCCCCAATGAAAGCACATACCAAAGGCAGCCAAAAGACATGCATGTCTTCCATTTGATAAACCTTCATGATGCACATTGCGAGTGTCGTTCTCAGCCAAGCTGGGTCACGTTACAGCTCTCAAGCGCTGGGAGGCTTTGGAAGACGGCTTGGACGCTCTCGACTCGGGGTTTGTGAATGCTCTCGGTGCCGCTTGGCTTGTATCTTGTAAATAGGAACCAGTACGGGCAGGTGCTGCAGAGTTGTAGTTGCTGGCGCAACAGTCGGCAAGGACAGTTCAACCAGGGTCAACGAGGATGTAGCAGGTTCGCATGCTTTGCAACAATAATTTCGAGATCTGCTCAGTTGACGAGGAGAAACGGCATGTAAAAGTTGCGAGCCTTGGAAGCGATTCAGGGACGGCGCAGCTGACTCGAGCTCCCGGCTCGTTCCATTGCACGGAGGTTGAAAGACAGCACCTTCCAACGATTCGGCGATTTGATAGAGGATAACGACCTTGCGAAACAACAGATCTCAGAGGCAATTGCGGCAGGCCCGGCTGTGAATTCCGTGGCGTGGTGTGGCGCTGTAGTAGAAACCAGAAAAACCAGCAGAGTCAAGTGAGTATGGTTTCAGCAGGGATGGAGACTACACTTGTAGCTTCAATTGCCAATTGCTTGTACTGTCGCAGCATTTCGCAGCGGAGATAGTTTCTCTTCGGCGTTTGGTGCAGGGGAGTGCTCTTTTTACCTGCTTCTGGTCTGTAAGCACATGATGGCACCTGAGGGGTCATCTAGGGCGGAGCTGATTGCCAGAGGAACGGAGCGGGACCTTAGCAGCTTACCATGGAATATGCAGACAGCAGGCAAGCAGGTGGAGTGCGAGATTTACGAGAAGGGCAGGGAAGCGTCTCGCAGCAGCGCAGCAGCTTGTCTGATCAGACACTGCCAAAATCCACTGAAGACAGAGATGTCCCGTTATTCAAGGGGCACCTGCATCGCTGATTGACTCGAAATATGCTGGTTCGAGATGTCGTTCGTGCCCTTTTCCCTTCTGAAGGCAGACTGGCGTCTCGCACGAAACGTTAAACTATCACCACCACCCACGTATCCAGTGAACCTCCTTTGCTGGCTGCGAAGTTCTTTCGTCCCACTTGTTAAGCTTTGCTTTTGTAGCACTTGATGCTGCAGACTTTGCTCAACGCATCACACACACCTGAATTGCATTTCCATGCGCTAGGACACTAGACGGTACTGCAGCGATAGACAAAGCCGTGTGAATATGCTTTTGTCTGTCATCGTGTGGGTTGCCACCATTGCCGCCATAAGTACATAGGGTCCTTTACCGACACTTCTAGCCGGACCTGTGCCTACAATCTAACTGTTATCACGAAGCTGGCAAGAATAAAGTAGCATCGGTTGTTCGTGCCTCAAATTACTTCGCTGTTACGTGCAAGGTCTGCACTTTTCGCACCTTCCCGGCCTGGAAGTGCAATGTTGTGTTCATGCAGTCGCCATATGAAGGTCGGGTCGCAGAAACTTGGCTGAATCCGTTTGCAGGGACTTGCTTTGTGGGATTGGGGCCTGTCTGCACATTTCTCACGAGGAATCCTTGGCAGTGGAGCTTGCGAACAGCTGCAAAGGCACAGTTGTCTCGTCCGGAATTACTGTTCCTGGCAATACTCATCTGCGGTCTACGAAAGACAGATGAGTACGTTGCATGGCAAAACAGGCTTGAGAGTGCATCACATGTTAGGTCTTGACATCATTGAAGGTCGTAGAAGGAGCACTGCCATTTTACACAGGCCCGTTTGTGCAACTTCGGAGCAGGGGCCGGGCATCGCTGCTTCGGGGCCGTGGTGGACTTCAGAGGAGCAGGCCTCTGGGTGCGACGGTGCTCAGCGCACGATAAGTGGTCCATTTTCGATCTTAATTGTTGACAGTGTTGGCAAGCTGCGGAAACTCACATGTAATGAAATTCGATAAATTCGATGAACGAAGGCAGCGAGTGCAAGATGATTCGGTTGTGCTCATGAGGCATGTGAACCTGCCACATCAAACCCGAACAGGTGCTCGTGTGATCCTGAGAAGTGGGCCGGGAGGCTTGCATTCCCAGAGCATTGCAGTGTCAATTTAAAGCCGACACTGCAGAAGCTTATGACAGGCCCTGACGTCTCACAGGTCGCCCGACACTACGAAGGCCGAAGCAGTTGCACTCCAGCTCCAGAGCCCTGTGAACTAATTACTCCTCCTTCTCACAAGCCCCTTGTAAAGGAAGTGGGTCCAGTACGCGAGCATTCTTCATGATTGACGCTGCTAACGTTGATAGCAGCCTGCCTGAAGTGTTTCCGATGGTCTTAGGTGAAGCACGGAGAGAATTCACGTGTGTTCTGCCCCCTGAGGTATGTTTGTCAAGCCCGAGATTGTTTTGTCTCTTGGCGCAGATGCCGAATGCACACCAGCACACAACCTGACTTCGCTTGGAAGCCTGCCCCAAGCTGACTGAGTCGTTGGTTGCACTTGATCGCCGCAAATCCGCGTGCGTCTTGCGTGTCATGACTGATGTCGTATGTCGTCCTATATCGTCCTACTATGTCCTGCTACACATGGAAGCTGGAAGCTCAGGCGACAAGTGACGTGGCTGCAGCAAGTCAGCGAAGCCTGGCAGATGTGGAAAACATTGTCAATTGGTGTCCCAACAGGGACAAGACCCCGTACCTCCGGATCACGTGATTCACGGTACAAAGCGCAAGCCGAGGTTCCCTCATGGCCTCAGAGCCGCGTAGACAGGAAGCTATTCCTGAAGCCTCTCTGAGGTTGCACTTGAAGACGAGCATTGTCTTCAAGCTCAGCCCGGGGACAATGTAACAGTGATCTATCGAGGTGAGCGAAAGCCTTCGACCCCTTTTGATCAGTGGCACTTCGGCTGCAGGTAGCGAGGAAGCTTCAAGTGCAAGTAAGCTGCATCTAATTAGGGACCCCAAAAGGACGTGAGCAAAAGCATGTTATAGGGATATACCTACCTCATTGGGCTTCATTATAAGGGGATGTATATGTGATATCCCTATCCTAATTTTTGCTTGTGTGCTTTTTGGGGTCCTGTCTAATTGTAACCATCGAAATCCGACATTTCCGGCCTGCCTGAGCCAGGTCCTGGTGCTACAAGTCGGACGATCCAAAGCAGGCATGTTGGCGTCGGGTCATTGCCTCCGAGTAGGGAACCCTTGATCAGGAGGGCTGGTTGCCGACCTTCGCGCACACGCTGTTCGTGGCGACGAGAAGTGAACCTAGCGGTGGGCAAGGCTCGGTCTGGGTCGTTCAGACTCAAGAGTAGATCTCTGCTGGCAGCATTGCCGAGAAGCCAAAGCACGGCTTTCATGATGTTGAAAGCATCTCACGGTGTGGGAGCAAAGGACATGGGCAGGTCCGCACCTTCGCGTCTTGTCTGACACCTGAAAGCCACGATCTACTGTAGCGATCCTTACCAAAACGGTCTGCCTGCCGAAGCCAATGCCAAATCGCTCAGTCGCAGAGACCAGTCTTATCTTGATCACGCCGGGTGGTGCAACCGGCGATGCGGGTCTTGTCCCGGTCCGGGCAGTATGGAAAGAAGCTGTCCAGATCTTCGCAGGCACGGAGAAGGTGAGCGAAGGAGATCTGATCCTCCCTTTGGCCCTCCGTGGCGACTTCCTCCTCGGCACTCGGCTGTCGTTCCCAGGATGCTGATATGGTTCACTTCATTCAATACCTCGAGATTTGGAAGTGCTGCAGGGGGTCGACACAGTGTCGGGATCTCCTTTGCCTCTCAGGCTTGGGCCGGCGAATCTGTCGAATGACTGGTGCCGTGGTATTTCAGTGCATGTTAGGGTCTTAGGATTTTAGGGTATTTTAGGGTGTTCAACGTGACATCCGAGGTTTCCCTTCGACCATGACCTCTACAAGCCAGTGCAACCCAGCTCGGCAAAAGTCATTGTTGAAGAGGCCAACCTCTTTTATGAGCAGGGACCTCGAACAAGGAGCTAGCAATGCTTTGCAGATTGCCCGCACTGCTGGACCGAGGCCTGACATCCGTGTCGCTGGCTATGGCTGTGCATAGTGCAGTGCTGCAAAAGCTGCAGGGCTGCAGGCTTATGCCTTGGGACACTCCTCTGTTGCCAAGGGCTGTAACAGGCACAAGCCTCTGCAAGCGTGCCTCAGCACAACGGTACACGATCATGACATCCCACAGTGGCTTTCACGCTGGTGTTGATTTGCCCACAGCATCTACCGTAGAGTCGTGGAGTTTTTCTCGGGCACAACAGATGGCTTGCCATTGATTTGTATCTATTTGTTCAAGGGCTTCCGGTCAGGGATCTAGTTGCAGGGCCACCAGCCAAGTAGCAAAACGTGTGTGCGTGTGTGTGTGTGTGTGCGTGTGAATCTAACGCACTGGCTGCCCAATTCGTGTATGGTGTGGGTGCATACCATGTATCGGCGATGGCTTGGAGCTGCGCCTGGAAGCTCAGACATTGCCCGAAGCAATGGCACGACCGTCTAACTAATTGAGAGGAGAGCAGTGGAAAGTCGTGCAAGTCGGCCTTGTGCTCAAAGTTGACACAACTTGCTAGCACTGCATTCTCTGCAGCTTGAGCTGTTGCTACAGCTATGATTATGCAGGTATAAGAAGCCCAAGAATGCAGGATCTTTCCAGCCTGTCAGCAGCACTAGCTGCACTGCCACTCCCCACAATCCTTATCCCTAATGGTTCGGTGCAGGCCTGCGTCCAGTCTCGACGCAGTCTTGCCTTCTTGTACTTGTTGTTTGTTGAAAGTCAGGCGGTCAGGCAGTGTTTGCCGGGACGATCGTGGTAATGTGAGGATGCATGCTTATGGCTTTCATGAATACACCGAATAGCCATGAGGACTCGTAATTCAGGGCTGGATGGGGGGCATATCACCATCTATTCGCTCTGTACGTACATACATTGTACTAGAACATATAATGTATAACGAAGTACAACTTGCATTGTACAATATACAGTACAGAATGCATAGGATTTATTATCTGCAGTATATGAAATATTCTAACCTAATCTACGGCAATATAGAACATAGTCTAGTATAACATACAATACTACACTATGCTATACTACACTGTACTATATTATATATATATACTCTAACATAAGAACACATACTGTGATACACTACAAAGAAATGTCGAGCATGAAATGTATCATATACGATTTAGCAGAATATGGCGCAAGATAGTGTAGTGTAATCAATGTAATGTACCGTAATGCAAGAATGTACTGTCATGTGAATTCATGGAAGATGATACAATATGCTAGAAGCCGCAGAGTACTAGAATAGAATAGAATTTGACGTAAGATGATATGATGCGCCGGCTTTGCCACCCAGGCCCTTCACTCTCAAAAAATATTTTACTTCGAACATCCCCACCCTACAGATAATGCATTTGGGGGCCACCACACCACTGACTGGCGTTACCGTCGTGGGGTCCCCGGTCACGCAACAAAACACAAGTGTTCGATTCAGGTCATTCGACGATCCATGGGGTCACAACACTGACTGGCGATACGGACGTGGGGTCCCTGCACAATTACCAAAACACTTGTTCGATGCAGGGTCGACGATCCATGGGGGAAACCAGTGACTGGCGTTGGAAAGGTCCTGCAGTTCCCGGGTTGTGCACTCCAGGGAGTCTCACAATGTTGGTAATTTCAGGGGAGTCTGACGGTAGGGGTTGGGCACTCCAGGGAGTCTCACGACAGTCTCTGGTTTGGGCATTTCACGGAGTCTCGCGGTTGTCTTTGGGCTTGGGCACTCTAAGCAGTCTCACGGTAGTCTTTGGGGTTGGGTGGCACTGCAGGGAGTCTCACAGTAGTCTCTGGGGGTGGGCACTCCAGGCAGTCTCTGGAGGTAGTCGGAGCGGACGAGGAGCGGGCAGGAGTAATAGCTGACTTTAAAATCTAACAACCCGACACCGAGGGTGTGGAACAAGTAGCAAAACCGACCCCAACGGTACCAATCTTGCATCAAAAAGTTCAAATCCTAAGACCTAAGATGCAGCGCCAAAGCAAACTCAAAACGAAGCCCCACAACCTTGCAACTTGCAACCCCAACCACAAGAAGACAATTCAATCCTGCCCCCGCACGCGAAACCCGTGCCCTGCCACCCAAGCCCGGCACGAACAAACACAAACTCCAAGATCCAGCACCTAGGACCCAAGCAAAACCCGACGCAAAGCCTGAACCCCGCAACCCAAACTCCAAGAACAACGCCAGATCCTCGCACAGGCAGCCCACGCCCGTAACCCAAATGCCAAGACCAACAATCTCGCAACCCAAAACCCAGGAAAAGAAACCCACAAGCATCCCAAGCCACACGACCCAAATCCCAACATCCAGCACCAAGGCAAAACCCCAACACAACGCCGCAACCCCGAAACCCTCACACACGCCAAAGCAAAGCCACGCAAATCCGGACCCCAACCAAAACCCTATAGACCCCACACCTGCGCACCCCGAGCTGCTTCTGCATTTATATGTATGCAAGTATGTAGAAATACGATCAGTACAAATCTAGATACAAGTACAAGTATACGTGTAAGTTCAAGTTACAAAACAACTAAATAGATTAAAGTAAGTTGAAGTACTTGGTTGATTAGTTACTTGTAATAATACTTATAACAGTAACAATATGTATTGTTATTAGTATTATATGTATGTAATACATACATACATACATACATACATACATACATACATATCTACAAATCAACAGAAACACGAATATGTGTATATGTACTTGCATAACACAAATATACATACATACATTTCTACATAGATGCATACATAGATACATACTATACATACATACATACATACATGCATACATACACACACATACATGCATGCATGCATGCATACGCGCACATGTTGCATTTGCCTGTGAATATACCGACATGTACCTTTTATATATATATATATATTGTGGTACTGATATTCATGTTCATATTCAGATGAATGCATGCAGTTATGTATGTATGTGCACATGATAGTATGCAGGTGAGAGCACACCTGGAAACATGTGTCTACGTTTTCTGTAGTTGCGAGCATTCTTGAAGCGGCTGTGTCGTGTAGACACATTCACCGAGTCATATTTTGCTCTACAATAGAAAGAAACTCTACAGACCCCGTCTCAACCTGCATTCCAGCTTGATGCATCTGAGCTTAACAACCATATATCCGGCAGGTTTCGAGAGGCTTGAATCAAGCACAGAAAGCATTGTCAGCATGCCTCAATAAGCAGTGCACGCAAGCCAAATTGTCATTTTGTGTGAAAGGGTTCCAAGGCGTTGCAGCATCGATCTATTGGTAACCGAGTGCCCTGGTTCGACATGCTTTTTCGTCGTCGTAGCCATCGCACCGAGATGTGAGCCTGAAATATCCTGCGCAGCACTCGTGTAGGTACTGAGCTCATGGCAGACACTCCCATAGAAGGCTCAGGCGGTGGCCATTTCCCTGGACAGCGCTTGTCCGGACCGCAGGAGTTGCTGGAGGGACAGGTTCTTCACAAGAGGTCATGCGGCAACAAGCTATTGTTCCTAGAGCTCGAGACAGCGGAGCAACCGAAGAACTCTATGCCATTGCCTTCCAGCGCACAGGGCTGGGAAGCCATTTTCTCGTTTGAAGTCTATGGAACAGAGGTGCGGGAAGTAAGGAAACAAGTTTCTGTGGGAGATACCGTTTCATGCAAAGGTACCTGGAGAGCCTGTGGTAGGATTTTAGACGTGTTCTCTTATTCCATGCTGCGGCGCTGGACAGATATAAGTGGTGGAGAAACATTTGCAGCACCTGCTGCTCGCAAAGCTGACGAGATGAACCGCAGCCTTGCAAACACCAAGATGCCGCAATCAAGCAATGACGGCACGATCGGCGGGGTACCGCCACCTCCTCCGGTACCCGAATCGACAGCACGGAGAAGAGCTTTGTGCAAGTTCTGGATGAGCAACGGAATCTGCAGACGGACCCAGTGCAACTGCTACCATCCAGAGGGAGATGAGTTGAAAGCTGCCAGGGTGCGGTGGCGCCAGGAGCAACTCCAGCGTGTAGAATCTAACGTGCAGCCGGATGATCCACATCCGAAACAGGAAAAGAAAGGCCATGCTGCTCGTGCAGCTGTTTTTGCTGAATGGCTGTGTGAAGTATTCGGTGACGACATTCTCCGCGGGGGTGTTGTAGACATTGCCGGCGGTCGCGGAGAGCTGGCTTTTGAACTCAGCGTGAAGAGGAACATTCCGTGCATTGTCCTGGATCCACGTTGCCCAGGTGCAGACCGGCCGGCGCCATGGAACGACTGGCATGTTTCAAGACTCCTGGCAAATTCGAATAAAGTAGGGAAAGCATTTCTGCTGGGTCCGAGGCAGCTAGCTGTTCATTAGCTTATCAACAAGCTTTGAAGGTGTTCAGTTTCTATATCCACTCTAGCGCCCAGACGATCAGGACAACAGCGTGCATGGCTCAAAAGTCAATGTGGGCTGCGAAGCTATTCAGAATGTCAAGCCCACGTCCTGCGCTGCCCTTTGAGACAGTGTCAAGTGCCTGTGGAAACGGCTATCGAAAAGGCACGGATCTCAATGAAGAAACCCGGTGAGGCATCACCCGAATGGGAAGATTTGTGCAGCTGTCAGGTCGTAGTAGGCTTGCACCCAGATCAAGCTACTGGAGGGGTAATCGAGCTTGCCAAAGAACTCGGACGCCCCTTTGCCGTGGTGCCATGTTGCACTTTTGCTGATGAGTTTCCAGAGCGGCGCCTGGAGCACCGACCAGTTCGAACTTATGCTGATCTCGTCGAATGGCTGCAAGTTACGGCGGGGCCTGAGACACGCAAGGACTTCCTGCGTTTCTTCGGCAAGAATCTGGTGCTGTTCTCGAAGTAGGCTAGAACGGAGTGCAAGACACGATCATTTGACAAAGCGCCAAAGGGTTGCCTGCGGCTGAAAGGGTACGAGCTGCGGGGACTGACAGGGTTTCCCTCCTTGCGCACAAAGGCTCCTGGGATTTGCTGGGTCTGAGGTGTGAGAATCTTCATTCCAGCTGGAGAGGATTTTAGAGGTATGCACAGTAGCTTGTTTATTTAAATTCTATTTGATCTGATGTCTGCTTGCTACGATGCATTCTTTGCATGTGCAGTAGGCTCCGGCTCAAGCTTGCTCGACCGGATCTCAGCCTTGGTCCATGCCTTGAACTTCCGTGCGTTTCTCACAAAACAGCAGCAGACCATCAAGTCTCGTTCCAGGAGCATTGCGTTTTGTGCGACTGAATGTCGAGCTAGATTCCTTGGATCAAATTCTACACACAAAAGCCAACTCCACCGACCCCAGGAGCACAACTCCTGCAACTAAGATACCCTTCCGCGTTGTACCAGAGCCCGTACTGTGAGATACGGTGCGTAAAGTGCGAAATCGCTCTTCGCACGGGGTGCAGTGACGAGCCTTTCGTGATACATGCATGTTCGGGCGCGCGAAATCGCACTCTGCGCGTGATCACGTGTGGTGGCGCGACAATTACAGGCGTGTCTGCGTCCTCCGGAAGTCGCGATAATACCCGTGTGAAGCAGCGCTCGACATGCCTGAATCCTAGCAGTACTGAGCCGTGGTGCCTCGAAAGCGCGAAAGCCCTCAGGCAAAGTCTGGTGTTGCTCAGGCAAGAGCCAAAAACATCCCTCGTAGATCTCTCCTATGGTTTATACTCCTTTACATCATGCCATAGATACCACCACCATCGACATCATTAGCGGGGCGCGCAGTGTCGTGGTGGATTCGGTATCTGGGGCTTGGCTGGCGAAGTTTGGCCTGGCGCATCTGATCTGTACGGGTCGGGCCTGGCCGCGGTAGGTCGGGCCGCCATCTTATGCAGCACCGAGACTACGATGGTTCAGAAGTGTGCCCGGCAAACTGCACAGCTGGTTCATTCTCCGAAAAATCTGGGGCAGGCAGTCCAAAGCGTTTCCCAACGATTCCAGAAGAAGTGAGTTTGGACATCGTGGTCGCTCCATCGCCTCTCTCACTTCTGAGATATTCTGACCAAGGCAAGTCGAAACCTTGGCTTCGTCGTGTCCGATTTTAAGGATGTGAAATTCCAACGGGTCATACAGCGACGCTGCAGCTTGCCCTATGTGCAGCCACCCCCGCATCCTTATTCGAGCAAAGTGTCTGATGTCTAGACTCTAGACAAAGACGTGCCCATGACGCAGGGCTTCACTCGCTTTCTATGTTGCTTTGCCGTACCGTGGTTCACCAGCATATCACTGGGGATCCCATCCCCGCGACCAGCCTGCAGAAGCCCATGTTGTATATCCGCTTCAATGTGACGGTGACGGTTCTTATTAAACCTTACGAGGACATCGTTTGGGTCCGTAGCTGCTTTGTTCTCAGTGGTTCCTTGCCTGCCTGGTCGGGAAGATAACTCAGGCATCAAGGTTTGTTGATGGAAGGCGAGCTGGACCCTGCATTGTGGTAATTAGTAATTTAGGTTTTCAAGTTTTCAACTCTCGGGTCGAGGCATGGGCCGAAAAAACGCTTAGCTCCGCAGGCTTGGTTAACAGACTAGTATAGAACAGTTGCATAGCAGGAGTGGTCACAACAAAAGGCTGGGCGTGGTAATCTGAACCCATGGCTGCGACCCTGCAAAAAAGCTGTGCTGAACTCTACCTCGTGAGTACTGTATTGACATAACTACAGCAGGGGCCACAAGTTAGAGGGAGATAGAGGGATTTTTTTGCGGATGTCTAGCAAGAGGTGTCAGGAGTAGTTGCCCTAGTCGATGGACGGATGGATCTATTCTTGCATGGCTTATTGGATGGATGGATGAATGTTTGATATCTTTTTCACACACATGATTGGATCGGTGAATGGATGTTCTCAACGGACTAACGGATGACTGAATGGTTTGATGATGTTTGATGCGAAGATACATGCACAGTCGACGCATAGATGGATGCATGGGTGAAGTTCTTTCTGCCGAAAATGGGTACAGGATGCATGCATTCATGATACACAACTCATGTCGATGTTTTCTTTTGCTTCTAGAGCGCTTTCGGGACACCAGTTCTCTAGTTCATCTCGACTCTATTCCGGGACAAGGTTTGGGACCTGGCGCGGAGTTCGGTGCCCTGCTCGCAGGAACCTGCTGGCCCGAGCACATGCCATGTTATGACGCAGGCCGCCTGTGCACACAGAGCCATTCTAAGGCTTGCTGGAGAAAAACGCTGGGATCACTCCATCGCCAGATATGCACACTGCTTCTACTATGCGTGGTCTGTGCTCTGCGTGAGCCTACACTATTCAGGACACTTCCCTTTGGGAACCTGTGTTGTCATCTGGGGAATCCCCGTGCTGCTTTGCACATTGAAGGTGCAGGCAGTAGTACGTGTGATGGTCAAAAGCCAAAACGATTATCCAAGCCCTACCGTTTCCAAGAGAGAAGACGATGCTGCTTTTACCTTGGGACTAGCGAGGTTGGTCATAACCTCCCGTGCGAATTCAGAAACTTGTGCATACCTGGGCACAACCACGGGCAATTGGCATACGTACTTGGTTGTGGCAACTGGCTCCCTGCTGCTGAGTTCAATCGCATGTGCCATATGGGAGCAACCAGATGCTGACAGCCTGACGTGCCGCTGCAACCTACTGTCAGTGGGTGTTTGCTGCTCCTACATGCACCGTAGTCTGTTCCTGCATTTCACCTCAGACCGAGCTGCAACAAGGGACACAGTGCTGCACAGTGCCCTTGTGGGCCGCGCCGTGGCTGCCTTCGGCGAGATGTGCTTCGCATCACTTATTTTGACTGTGACAGCAGAGACTTGGACACTGCAGGCAGAGAGATTGTTGTGGAGCACTCCTCCGGCCAACCCAGTGGTGAGGATTTTGACAGCCCCATGGCCATTTGCGTGGAAACTGGTGTGTTTGGCAGAGATCCTCTCAACGATTGGAACGGCGAAGATGGTCTCGTATTACTTCTGCATTGAAAACTTGATCTGGACGATATTGGCTGCGAGTGTGGCAGTGCTCGGCTTGAGTTTGGGCGATCTCTCCATGGTCGCCGTGGCTATATGCTTCATCGCTTACACCCTTGTTTGGGACATTCCGGGGTACTTCTCGCGGGCGCGGAAGGCCCAGGCCAGGGCTTCGTGCCTTCCAGCCGGAGCCAAAGGCTTTGGCGATTTTGCTGAGACGCATGGAATGCATGGATGCGTAGAGTGCGACGATTCGGAGATGGACTTGCTTCCAGGCCTGGTCGACTGTTTGTGGCGGCGGAGGGTGGTCACCACAGATGCTTACTGGAGCCGTCACTATCCGCTTATGGTCATGAACTACATTGTAGCCCCGGTTCTTTGCGTTACCTGGCGGGAGTGGTCAAAGCCTGCCCCAGGGCTGTAGAAGCCTTGCAGCCTGTGTTTTGCGGGTGCCGGAAAGGTGCGGCCGAACGGATCTGCCAGGGTCCCACAGAGCTGGTCTTCGGGCTCGAAATCGGTTCTGAAGAGTCGAAGTCATTTCGAGACTCGATGCAAACACGATCACAAAAATGTTCGCACGCTTCTGATTAGAGTTCTTCAGCTGCCACGGACCCAGAACATGCCATCGACAGGAGCCAACCGAATCCCGCATGCAGAATAGTTTCATACCCTTCAGATGTCGACAATCGTGTCGTTTGCCTGAGAAAGGGCTTCAGGGGCAGAGATCTTCTTGTTGCTTGGGTTCTGAATTGAAGGAGTCGTAATGCAGCCGTCTTGAAAGCACTCAAGGCGCCTGCACTGCTGCACTCGACACCGCGTGCCCTATCAGGAGCATGTGGCTTTCCACCGTACCACTCCATGTCTTGAATCTTGGTTTGGCTTGCGCCTGCATTTCTGACTGCAGCGAGCATGGAATCGCACTGTTGCAGCTTGGCCATGACTTCCCAGAGCTCGTCCACACGGTGACACCTACAAAGACGCCCAAAGCACCTCGCACAAATGGCCTGGAGTTCAAAAAGGCTTCATATCTGCAGTACCGCGAGCTCGGCGAGGGCACGAAGTTGAGCCTACGGTGGCTCTCGATGTTGGCATTGCTTCTGCTTGGGTTCTGGCTTGTCTACTGTGCATATGTGCACGAACCGGACCTGCCTGAGGGTGTTGCAGATCGATTGTTACAGAAAGCTGTGCCAAGATCATTGTCCGAGTGCAAAGTAGTCCCGGACTTTCTTCGCCTGTGGGCCCATCAAACACCGGAAAAGACGGCCTTTGTCTTCTGCGACAAGGAAGGCAGTGAGACGGACAAGCGCAGCTATGCCAGCCTCGCATCCCGAAGCGCTGCCATTGCGCAGACACTTCTTTCGGAGTGGGCTGCAGTGGCAGGTGACCGGGCGTTGCTGGCAGCCCAAACAGCAATGGCAAGCTTTCCATGGCCTCGTCCTTGTCTTGGACACCACACACAGTTCCCAAAAATGCAAGACCCCCACCACTATGCCAGAGAGGCTTTTGTTTCAGGACGAGATTTTTCAAACTCTGAGGTGTATGAGCCTGGCTTGGAGTTCATCGATGCCTTCCTCGGCTGCCTTGTTGCAGGCTCTGGCCCTAGATCCCAAGATCCTACTCCAGTCCTAGTGTGCCCATGTGAAGCGGCACGGCATGCTCTTCCTATGTGGTGTGCCCTACTTCTAGATCTGTCACCAATGAAAGGTTTCTGATGTGACTGTGATGCTGCTAGGTGCAAGCATCGGTTCGCGCGCAGACACAAGGTCATTCAAATCTTGGCATCAACCCCTGAACCCTACTCGTCGCCCTGCATGTGGTCGTCTAGAGTCCGCCATCCCCGATTTTTTCTGCTAGCGACCTGGACGATCGTCGCGCTCGCCAGTAAAATCCTTGCCAATTAAGGTCTCAGGCTTGACCTTCGAAGGACGTGTCCAATAATTGGTTTGATTAGCCAACTGCGACGGTAGTCGTTGCTAGCCAATTTCGTTCGAATCCTCCTCCGGAACTTGCGACAGGATTCCTCCTGAACTCGGGCCATTGCCTTCAATCAAAACAATGCCTCTTTGAGCTGACCACGCCAGCAGAGCCGCACCCATACAAACCAGGATGTGGATTAGGTTTCAGTGGCTGGGCTCGGTTTTTACGGGTTCGGCTCTGCTGGCGTGGTCAGCTCAAAGATGCATTTTTTGATTGAAGGCAATGGCCCGAGTTCAGAGGAATCCTGTCGCAAGTTCCGGAGGAGGATTCGAACGAAAATGGCTAGCAACGACGTCCCGTGTCCTTCAAACCAAGTATTTCGAACATCGCAGTTGGCTGACAAGGACGTCGACGGCCCTTCAGCCCTTCACGCCAGTTATTTCGAAGCTACCATCTTTGGAAAACTTATCGAGCGAGGACGATCGTAAATCGGCTGAGCTAATTCGGTTTTGTCCCAATTTCTAGAACATCGCTGGCTAGGACCATCGGCACGACGATGAGAAAAGGCCAAGCCAATTTCAGGAGACAAGGGTGAAGCAGGAATCCTATCAGCACAGCGCTTCTCCAACTACCCAGCATCCACAGCAAGCCGACGGAACCCCATAGAACAATGGAGGCTAGTTAACGCATACTCCTGCGACAGTTCGCAGCAGATCCTCAGGTGTGTTTGAATGAAGCTTCGTCATGGAAAACTATTGTTGAAATCCCTGGGAGACGTGAGGTACTGTGGCCGTGCCGGTGTATCCGCCTATGCCTGGCCGTGAAGCTGATATGAAAAGATTCAGAACGGTTCAGGAGGACCAGCGGCCGCAGAGCTTTTTTGTCGGGCATGTGACATAGAGGAGGGCAGTGGATGTCAACGGGAGAGCTTGTTTACAAAGCCCGAACGCGAGCCCCCTGACATGTTGTGGCCACGCATATTGGCCCACAATTAGGGGTGCTTGATGAGACGCATACAATATGTCGAACGAAACCCAGCAAAGCCTGGGCCAGAAGCCCAGCCCCGAACCCGACACATCCCGACACTTTGTTCCCAAAGTTCTTTGGACACGTCATGGCGCGTCCGAGAGGATGCTGGTGCGAGCCTGGCGCTCACAAGCCGCGCCTACATGTGGGCTTCCTCCACATTCATTGCGGAGTGGCCTGTGGAGTCCCCCATAACGCAAGTGTTCTGTGTTTTAGGTTTCGAGAAGGTTTATGAGGCATGCCTTCCAAAGGAAGTCGTCCAGTGTGATTGCCCGGAGAACCGACTCGTTGTTGTTACCTGTTTTTGAAGCTTTAGGGTTTATGCGACTCAGACCATATGATTGTCAGGTTGACTTGGAAAGTTACGACGGGCCTAGACGAGAAGCCCTGGGCCGCGCCCATACCGAGTCAAGGCAATCAGTTGGCGTTCCTCCAATACACATCCGGCTCTACTGGAGACCCGAAAGGTGTCATGATCTCTCATGCCAACCTTGTGACGAACTGCTTGATCCCAAATGAACCCGCTGGCAACTCGAGAACCTTGCTTGGGCGACCCAAGTTTCAACGTTTTGGTTGTGGGTCTGTCGCGGTGGGGTGGTGCCCACAGTACCACGATCTCGGCCTCGTTGGCGGGATTCTGACAAGCTTGGTATGGAATGCCACACATATTGGCTGTTCACCTGTAGATTTCATCAAGGATCCGCTGCTGTGGCCCCGGCTGATAACAAAGTTCCACGGCACTGTCACCGCTTCGCCTCACTTCGGCTACCAGCTCACAGCACGGCGCATGGAAGCAGCGCTGAAAGCACGCCAGTCCCTGGCCCTCGACCTGAGCTCCCTCACGTGCCCCAGCATGTTTAGGGCTTCTCCAGACTCGGTCAGTGCATCTTGACGTTTCAGAGATCGCATGTTGCCCACTGCTGTGCATCACTCACCGGCTTACCTCTGGAGCATTGCCGGGCAGAGTGTTGGGTTGACAGTGACCTTTCAGTCGTTTCGTATGTCGCGTTCTTTCTGGCACGTGTGGGCTTATCATAGAGCCACAGGCCCGGGGCTTGACATGTCTTCATTGCATCTGCAGCTAAGGGCAGCCCTCGATGCCGCAGAGCCCATTAATGTGCGTGAGCGCCCCTTGATTCAGATGGCAACGATTTTAAATACAAAGGCAGCAGTAGGACACGTGTATCGCTGGATTCTTGTGATCCAGGCGATTCGATGCTGGCAACATGGCAAAAGTTCGGACTCCGACAGGGAGCCTACTTTGCAGGGTACGGCCTCGCAGAGCATGTCGTGAAGGCAGATGACCCTCCGGCTCAGGGCGCAGTTTTTGGAGCATTTTGCAGTTCTGAGGCTGTTGTGTACACCCTTTGCTGCACACTGTGTGGAAGGTTGCGTGCGGTGGTGTGGAGGGTCTCGCTGGAGCTGTGGAGAGCATAGCAGACTGCGGGGAAGCATGCGACGGCGTTACCATCAAGTGCCTTTGCCAATTTCTCTTCTTGTGCAGGTTTAGAGCAAGGCGGAGTAACGATAAGATTAGATAAGAACTTACGAACAAGGGAAGGAATGTGCGGGTTCGTGGCTCAGTGATTGGGAAGGAGGTGCGAGGGCTGCGCATGGGATTATGAGTTCATAAAGATCTAGATGAAGGCAGCTTCCTTCTTTTGCCTTGCTGTCCTTGGCAGGATTGTCGATCCAGACCAGTGTGTAGAGCGCACAGATGGCCAGGAGCGAGATAAGTCATGTTACATCTTGAATTTGGCCACTTAACAACCACCTCCTGGGGTTGAGGGCATCTGCATGCCCTGACTTTCCGTAACATCCTAAACCTGAACCTAGGTATCCTAGGTCCTAGGTCCTCTGAAGCTGAAGCGCGATAGCTACAACCTCGCCTTGGGGTTTGGACCTGCGCACGCAGGAGGGTGAGATTTGGCTGGACTCGCCCTCGAAAGCTGCAGGGTATTGGGGGCAACCGGAACTCTCCCAAGAGGCTGGGCCCCTGCGGCTTCGGCTGGAGACAGAATTCAAAGTATAGCCGGTGCTGCCGTTGCCTTTGCAGTTGTTTCTGAAGCCTGAGACTTCAGACGTACAGTCGACGTCAATCTCATCCTACTTCGAACCCCGTAAAGTACTGCAGTGATGCATGTGCGATTGTGACGTCGGTAGAAGCCTGCAGTGCAGAAGGCTGCAGGGTTTCGGTTCACTTTTTAGACGGAACGGCGGGGCGGCGCCTTGGCGGTTGCAAGCAGCGCACCATGCATGACATCGTCGGCGACCCACCTTGGTATGCCATCCGACCTGCACAAGCTGTGCCAGGCCATATCGCCCACATTTAGGCTGGCGGCACCATCCCAATGCTCGCTGGATTGTCAAGAAACTTTCATAATTCACTGTGCCATCGCCATTCCTGTCGGCGGCCGTGATGGCCAAGCATACCCAAGTAAACCTCCAACTCTAAGTTCCCTCAATGCGAGAGGGAAGTTCCTGAGGGAAAAAGTGGGTGCAGGAACTAGGGCACTAGATTTCGGCTGCCGCAGGTCTTCCATGCACGCTTGGACGGCCGGACGTACCTCCGCACGGGGGATTTGGGTTTCCTGCAGAACGGCCGGCTGTTCGTATCAGGCAAGCAGGAATGGAACATGCTTCCAGGAGGGATGGTAAGAGGCTTCTCAACGAAGTCTTTAGGATCCCAGGGACTACCAGACGAAGGCAGCTTGCATAATCTGAAAAAGGCTTGGGCGGCCCCTATATAGTTCTGAATGCTTGGCTCTCGTGACTCTTCCCTCCTAGAAGAGCTGCACGTCTCAAGGCAGAATCAGCCCAGCTCGACCTTAAATCATCTGACAGGCCGCCGGAAGAATCTTATCATCATCGGCGGGAAAAACTTCTACCCTCATGACATCGAGCAGACCGTACAGCTGCCCAGCGGCAAGTCGTATCGCATGCTTTTGCCATGTCACACTGCTGTTGCCGATGCCTATCGCTTGCTTCTCTCCTACGGTGTTTTTTTGCTTTTCCTCTTTCTCTCTCCCTGGCTGTGCCTGCTGCTTCATGCTAGACATTGCTAGACGCAGGTCAGGCCGGAGTGTTTGCGGAACCTGCTGGGCTTAGCGTCTCTCAGTCACAGGTAACCTGCGCGTGAACCACAAGCTTCCAACTCTTTGTTTTCCTGAATCCTGAACGGTTCCAAATGCGAATGATCACCTTCAACTCTAAACCCTCAGACCTTCATGCGCCTATCCCAAGGTCTCGAGGGCAGCCACATGTCCGTCCGGGCTGCATCGTGGCCACTAGTAGCCTGGCAAGATGGGGTTGAGCTTTACACAGTGCAGATTTGTCAGGGAGGTTAGATTTCTTGAGCAGAATGATGGGGCGTGACAGGTACTCCGGAAACTTGAAGTTTAGAGTGTAATTTCAGAACCCTAGAGCCTCAATGCTAAGCGCTAGGGTGTGGAGTCGGGAGCTGAGTTTCTCTAGGACGCCTTGCACGCATCCCACAAACCAACAGCTCCGCTCGGTTGGTTTGGCGTCTCGTGTTTGCCCTGGACGAGCCGGCAGGCGACAGTATCTTGCGGCAAGGTCGTGTCGAGAGCATCGTACTATGCCGGTGGGCTGTCAAAGACTGTCTATGGAATGCTTTCGAGGTATTCCTTTCTTCTCTCACTCCATGCCGTCTAAAGCGCATTCGTTAGGGACCAGTACTGGTTCTGGGGAGAACGTGTTCGGGTACCGGGTCCAACGTGAGTGCCACAGCATGGCTGTGGGGAGGGGCGGCACATTCGGCTTTTGGGGTCAAGTAGGGGGCGGCCTATACTTTGAATTTGTGGCTTGGGGTATCTCTGAGTGGACCGCTCTCATTTCTGACGCGCTTTGATCGGGGGACAGAACCGAAGCCTCGAGAAATCACGCATGGTCCACGGCATGGTCAGCATGTAGGCTTAGGGTGTGGAGAGTAAGCAAACGATATGGAAATTTGGAAGAGGTGGCACCAACCAGCGTATCGACAAGGTAGAGTGAGTCAACTGGCACATCCGAGCGTGCGAAGTCAAGGATGAACGGCGGTCTTGAGTTGGCCGGCTGTGAACCATCAACGCGACCAGACCGATTGCCAAAAGGATGACTAAGATTTGATAGACTAAGATTAGAGAAATTTTCGAAGTTGAGTTCTTCACGAACGGTTCTGACGACACCAGAACATAAAAAAGGATTTTTCTGGTTTTGCGGGAGACAGAGGTTGACAGGATAGCCTCGGGGCCCCTGCCACAAGTGATACAGACGAACTAGGGGGTCTAGGCACTTGGGGAAGTGTGTTGTGAACCATGTCTAGGACATGTTGCCTTGAACGTTGAACGTCAGCAACCCCACGATTTCGCATCTTCCCCACTGCACCGAGGAAGTACGGACCCGGAGAATCGCAAATTTTAAGGCTCCAGGGCGCTGTTTTGCAGCCAGCTATTGGGGAATCGCAATTTTTAGGGCTGCGGCTTTTGGCAAGCAAGTCACTGGGGAATCGCAGTTTGTGCGGCACGGTAATGATTACAGTTCTTGTCTGAAAACTGTAAGACTAAAAACGTTGAAGCATAAACAAAAAAAGATGGTGCAATACACTAACAAAACATGATATAGCACAGTAGGGGTTCATATGTCATAGAAAACGGTAAAGTTATGATAAGATTAAGTAAGATAAGGTAATGTAAGGCAGAATGATATCGCGAAGCATGGTACATCATCATATATTTCAATACACAGCAAAGAATACACGGTACCTATACAGTTGCAACAAACGAAATGGACCCAAAATGGCGCGCCAGATAGAGCGAGCTTTCTCAGGCAATGCGAACCTCACCGGAACGGAGCAGCTCCTCATTGCCGCCGAGGTGGCGAGTTCGAGATGGGAGGAATGTATTTGCCAATCGATGCAGTAGATTCAGTAGATGCACCATGTGTACAACCCGTGCACACAAAAGGCCGGTTTGCAGCTTTCAGCTTCGATGTGGTAGTACCACTGCTCTTATGGTAAGAACGTCCAATTGAAGATCTAACTGAAACGAAGCATGTTTAAACTAGCAGCTACTTGACACGCATTCAATGTTTGATGATGTTGGCACAACAAGTAGATGGTTCGTGTTATGTGTTGACAAGCTGGCTGATACTGACATCTTGCGCCGTGATCTTCAAGCGCACGTGAAGGCCAAAACGACCAAGATGTAACGCACATTTAGGTACCACTCAACCACATATAACTGATGTTTGACCAGTGCTGACGTAAGGCTTAGTTTAAGTTAGCTTGTCTTTCCGTGATGTTTCACCCGATGTGTAGGGAGGGCTCCTAGAGCTTTCAGTTGCGGCATCCGTTGATATCCTACCTTCTTGGCACGGCTAGCTTGAAGGGTTGCTTTGAGCATTCTCTGCGACTTCAGCAGAGGCAGTAGCAGGCTGGATGCTAAAACGCAAACACCTCATACACGATACAAAAACGCCTCATGAGTCGACTCACGAGGCTATGCCTTTGGCATGTGCAATCGCTTTAATGGGAGGTTCTTGTTTGTCGTGTTATTGCTGTCTCCTTGCCAATCAGACAGTCGGTAGTCAACATATCGAAACTATCAGCCAATGCTTCACTACTAAATGTTGCCTAGAAACTGGATAAAGGCAGGAGTATTCGAGCTTAGCGAGCATACCGTGTACTGTCTGTGTCTTCTACATGACGAGAACCATGGCCTACAACTTAATCTTTCGTAAACAGGTTTCGGAAAACTTGCGTACCATGCACATAGACATAGTGGCCATGTAGTGCTGCTACAACAGCTGTCTACCGGCCCAAGGAGGTCAGGTTAGTGCAGATCTACAACAGCTACAACGACATGGCTTTTGCTTGGTTTTCTCGAATTTTGTAAACTCCTCTTGCTTGGGCTTTCTGGGGTGTAAACTGTTGGAAATGTTCGAGTTTATGTCAAGCGTGTTCCAACAATTACCAACTGTTTCAGGTGAGGGCAGGAATCCTTTGGCATTTACGGCAAACGTCACGTCGATTGCTGACACGAACCCCGAACCCAGGCAAATGATGAAACTTCTGTGGATGTACGTAGTACATAATCAGCTTGCCTGTGGGTTTTGGCTGGGGTACACCATATTCTCTCTTTCTCTCTCTCTCTCTATATATATATATATACACACGCACATACACATGTGTTTATCCCCCTCACGAGATCCATGCATTGGTGGTTCATGGGGCGTGGGGGGTGCCAGACAGTGTAATGCTAAGCAACATTCAGTTTTCCGACCTTGAAACTCACCAGACACTGCAATGCTCAAAAAAGTTCCCCAACATTCTGGAATGTTTTGAGCAGTACAGTGTTTTGTGTGGTTCAACCCAAGCTTAAGAATAAGTGTTGTGTTTGCTCATGTTTGCTCCGCGTGCCGCCAAGCAGGCAGGGCAGGGGGCAGGGCAGGGCAGGGCAGGGCAGGGCAGGGCAGGGCAGGGCAGGGCAGGGCAGGGCAGGGCAGGGCAGGGCGGCAGGGCAGGGCGGGCAGGGCAGGGCAGGGCGGGGCAGGCAGGG